GTCTTCATTGCAAGCTCGAGCCTGGACTCACAACCGTTCCCGACGCAGCGGTCCCAGGGAGTGAGTCCCGGTCCTTTGTTCAGTGAGATTTTATAGGTTTTGGGGGGGGATACTCTATGCGTCACAACATCACACAGCAAATCATTCCATACCGTGGGAAAAGTCACACAACAGCTCTTAACATTGATGAGCACATTCACTGGCGGGAACAAGTTGGGTAGGGGTGATTGGTTAGTACAAGAGGGGGATTCCTTTGAACTGATTGGTTTAGGCCACGAGGGGTGTACGTGCTGAACTATATGGTTTCCCAACATGTTATCAACCACCATAAACTACTGGAGGGTCATAGGGCATCCCAGGTATTTTCCCTGTCTCATGCTGATTGGTGGTTGCTGGGAGGGGGGTTGCTATGGGTCTTCACCTAGCCTAACTGAGTCAGGGACACCTGAGTCAGGGACACCTGTCACCACAGATCTCTCCTGTTATTTGCAGACAAACAACTCAGCAGGGTAGTTATCTGCCTAGAAAGGCTCTGTGGGTTTTTCCAAGGTCAAGGGTCATGCCCCCTTCCTTAGGACAGGCCTTGAGGTAGAAGCTGCTGTTATTTATTTTCAAAAATGGAGTCACATCAGTTTCTCAAAGGGAATCACGGGCTGTAGACAATAAGAAAGATTTAGGGCTGGGAAAGAGGCTCATGTTACAGTACTTGCCTAGCGGACTCCAGGGCCTGGGTCCCTTCCCCAGCACAAATAGAGAGAGAGAAGGATTTGAAGATGCTATGTTGCTGGGTTTGGAGAAGGAGGAAGGGTATATAAGCCAAGACAGGAAGTCAAGTGGCCTCTAGAAGCTGGAAAAGACAAGGAAAGAGAGTCTCCCCTAAAACTTCCAGAGGAACAAAGCCCCTTGACCCCTTGACTTTAGAGCTTCTACCCCCAGAATTGCAGAGAATAACTTTGCCTTGTTTTAACCCATTAAGTTTTCCATCACTTGTTATAGCAGCAATAAGAAACTAATACAGTCTAGAGAGGTGGCTCTCAACCTGGGGCAATTTTCCTCCTCAGGGGACCCTTGACAATGTTGAAGACACATGACATCCTGTGACACATGAGGACAGTCCCCTACAATGAAGAATTATCTGATCAAAACATCAATATTGCTGAGGCAGAGAAACCTAGCTCTAGGTTCTGATGGAATTTTTATTTATTTATTTTTAAATATATTTAGTTGTAGATGGAATCAATGCTTTTATTTTATTTATTTATTTTTTATGCGGTGCTGAGAATCAAACGCAGCGTCTCATACGTGCTAGGCAAGCGTTCTACCACGGAGCTACAACCCCAGGCCTCTGGTGTAATTTTAAGGGGCAGTCCACAACGCTCTCTCCCTCCTCTCCTCTTTGAAAATGAATCTTGGCTGAGTGCAGAGGAGCTCGCCTATAATCTCAGCAACTGGGAAGGCTGAGGGAGGAGAATTTCAAGTTCAAGGTCAGCCTCAGCAGCTTAGTTATAGCATTCCTGTGTTCAATACTGCAGGAGGAAAAAAAAGTCTCTGTGCCTACCACGAAGACAGGGAAATTAGCTCACTGACATAAGCAAACAGCAACCTACTATGGAAACCGAGGAGAGAAGTCAAATTCATTCTGCTTAAAGGCTCATAAAAATATCTCCACAGTACACTGTGCTATTAAACGGTTGTTGTGCAAGGGCTATTTTGTTTTTGAAATTTGAAAAACTACATTTTAGAGTACGAAGCACAAAAGGCTGTAATTAGAGCTTCCTTTAACAAAACGCAAGAGCGCTGTGAATTTTAATGTTTAATCATCTGCTAGACACCCTCCTTGTGTCCCCAGGACACGGTGTTCTCCTGGCAGGTCAGATCTGGAATACAGGGTGTCTGGCTTTCCCCCGTTGAACTCCATGTTTACACAGCCCTCTCAGTGGCCCGACCACGTGACCAGGTTAAACAAAAGGAGCCGTGTCACGCCTCTCCAGCTCCCAGGCCAGAGCAGGATGCTAGGCACACCCTAGCAGTGCAGTCACTGGGATGAGTAACTGGAGAAAAGCTGTCAATCTCCTCTGACATAATGGGCACCCAAGGCTTGAGAGACCAGGGTTATAACTGCCAGTTTGCCCAGTGGCAGAGCTGAGACTCTGAGTGGGTCAGTATATATCACCCAGGACCTGAGAAGCACCAAGAACAGACTCTGGCCCAACCAGACCTTTGGATGAACTGATCTGAGTTCAAGTCCCAGCTCAGCCATTTACTAGCTGAGCAACATTGGGCCAATGACTTGATCTCTCTGAACCTCAGCTTCCTCATCTATAAAATGCATTCACCCAACAGAGTGGAGAAAAGAAATGAGAGGGTAGCAAGAAAAAGCCACCATGGCTCAGTCAGATCTCCATCTGCTGGTGATTCCTTGCCCAGCCAGTGAACTCATGTCCCAGTGTCACCTGCAGTTTGGTGGGATCATGTGACCACATGTGGGCCAATGGAAAATGGGCAGAAGTAACTTGCACAAATTCCAGGCCCTGACCAGGTTCTCTTTCACGGCCATCCTGCCCAGAACAGATTCATGGCATTTCTATATCACTTACTATGGAACTCCTCTCCCTGGTCTTTGAACATACTGACGCAGGTTGTCCACCCTACCCATCCCCTGGCCGGCTCATCTGCTCTCTATCAGGTCTCAGCTTAGATGTCACCTCTTCCAGGAAGACTCCTCTGAATCCCAGGGAGTAGACACTCTTAGTTTCACTCTTAGTAGACACTCTCATATGGGTAAAACAAGGAACAGAGAGATTTGGTACTACTCAAAATCACACAGAAAGTGTGAATTGGGCTCGACACTAGTGCTGGCTGAATCCAGAGCTTTTAATGTAGTCATCCCTTCCAAAATTAGCAACTCTAAAATCCCAGGGCCAACAGCAGTAGTTACAGCAGCCTCCTCACCTGGGAACTTGTTGGTAATGCAAATGTTTGAGCCTCACTCCAGGGGAATAAATTAAACTCTGTTAGCAGCCCAGAGATCTGCATGACCAAGGCTTCCAGGGGATGTTGTTATGCCCTGAGGTGGGAGAACCTCTGACCTACCTGCAGTTCAGCCACTTCCAGTGCCTTGCTGGTCCTAGCCAGGTCCAGAAAGGCCGAGAGCTGAACTGCGGCTCTGGGGATTCCACAGCCCTGTGGCTTCTAAGGTCAGCAGATCTTCATCTTTTGCTTTATTACCAGTGTATTAGTGACTCACTCCTTTGTTTGTTTGAAGTGTTCTTGTGCCCATCAGCCCTCGCTGCAAGAGTCTGATCCAACAGCACTTGAAAGCCTGAGCCAATATCACCCCCTGTGTAGACACCGCCCTCTCTCTAACAGCTTTCTTCTAGGAGCATTCTCAGTTGGGGTGGGGGCAGGGAGAACAGGACCGTTTATAACTTCTTCATCAGTAAAACTGATCTCCCACAACACAAAAACTATTCTTAATCAGCCCAGCCAGAGGCTCCTTCTAGGATTAAAGTCCTGATTACGATTACGAATTTTTTCTGTTTGGGGTTCAAAAATTCTACCAGTAATGGCAAATCCTAGATGATTTTGAGCAAGCCCAAGTTTCTGTTGTGCTCTCCCAGGTCTCTCCATCCAGCTCCCCCGGAACCACATAATCAGATGCCAACTTGACTGAAAACTGGACAAGACTTCTTTGGGGAATCTGATCCCGGCAGGATAAAGAATCTGAACAGCTTGGCTGGACAAGATACCCCCCAAAAGCCACATCCACAGATCTCCCAAAGAGCTTACTGTGGAGTCCCATGGCCCCATTCTACTCTGCAGGCAGCCAAGGACCACCAGGGGAGTTGGAGGGGAGGTTTGCCTGTGTGGTCTTCTGGGCCTCTAAAGTTATCTTCACCAGGCCCCGCAAAGGTGGAGTGCAGTAGGGCTGGGTTTGTGGCTCAGTGGTACAGCACTTGCTTAGCCTGCATGAGGCTAAGTTCCTATTTTAAAAATCCATCCTGAGCACCACATTAAAAAAATAAAGTTTTAAAAAAATTTTAAAAGTAAAGTGGAAAGAGTGGTCCAGGCTTAAGAGAGGCACACACTATCTTCTTCCACTGAAAAGCTTTCTCCACTAGGCTCAGACATCACCTCCTCCAGGAAGCCTTCCCAATAACCCTCACTCCCAAAGGGCGTTCTCATCTCTCACCAACTACCTCCATATCCCCCACTTAGTCCATCTTGCTTATTAGAGTCTGTTTATGTGGCTGGCTGCCACTTAGGGAGCCTCTGGGAGTCCGGTAACAATTCTGAGCCTCTTCTGTAAAATCTGCTCTCCTGTCGGAGGAAAGGCAAGGGAGCGCTCACGACGTTCTAGGACCCAGAACTCAGGCTCCTAGAGAGTGTCTCCCCAGGGCAGATCTCCTCCCCCCACACACCAAGCAGCCCATCTGTCACGCTTGGGCACAGCTGGGTTGGTCCCCCACACTTCCACGAACGGGCTTACCCGGGAGTCCCCGCCCCCGCGCCACCAGGCGCACGTTAATGCTCGGCCCCCAGGCGCACGTGTCACCGGCGCCTGCCAACACCCCAACTCTCGCAGCCAACGATGCAGCAAGGGCGTACTCACAGTCCCCGAGGTTCCGGGAACTGGGGCCCGTGCAGGCCTCTGGTTCAGGGGACCGGGTAGGGGTTGCGGCTTGAATCCCCGCAAGGGACAAACAGGCAGCCTGGCGGGCACCCTCTGCGGGGCCCGGAGCTGTCTCTCGCGGCCAGAACGCCGCCCATCGCTTGCCAAGTGCGTTCCTCATCCACGCCGCCGTTAGTGTGCACGACTTCCCCATTTTACAGAAGCAAACACTGAGCGCCTGGGACCCGAGCAACCAGAGGAGGGGCGCCCCATTCTCCAGGCGCGCCGTCCGGGGCCGCGCTCGGGCCGCCGGCTGCACCGGAGCGCGCGGGCCTGCAGAGCCCAGTCCCGGTCCCCACCCAGCCCGCCGGCTGCAGATGGCACCTACCTCCTTGGGGCGGGCAGGCGCGGCCGCCGCTGCCCACGGCCGCTAGGATCCAGAGAAGCTGGCAGAGGCTCGCGGCCCGGCGCTCCAGGGTGCAGGGCGGGCGGGCCCCCCGAGAGTGCCGGGGAGCGGCTAGCGGGGCGCAGGGGCCGGCTAGCGGGGAGACCGCGGGGAGGGCGGACCGATCCAGGGGCACCCGGCTGCGTACCCGGGACAGGAGCGCAGGCGACAGACCGCAGGGCTGGGACAGCTGCACCGCGGGGCGTGTGGGCGTTGGATCCCGGCAGGAGCCGAGCCCGGGAAGGAGCAGATCGGGGCTGGGGCAGAGTCTGGTGTAAGGCAGGAGCGACCGGGCAGGGGCGGGACTGCGGTGCTCACGTGGCCGCCCCCCGGTGGCCGCCACAGAGCCTGCAGCCGCCTCACTGGTCTGCCCCCCTGCTCAGTGACAAGCGCCCCGCCTGTTGAATACACACACAGTGTCAGCATCTAACGCCCATTTGTCATTTGTGGAAATCTCTATAACTAACCTTAGGATACTTTTATGAGAAATGCTTCCCCGCCCCCCATCTCTGCTTTGTAAAAACTTAGGCACATACACCAATTGCATTTCTTTATGTAATTATTTAACCAATATGTCCTCTAGGCCTTCCTTACCAGTCTTGTTTACATTGCTGTATTCCTAACTGAACCCAGGGCCTGGCACATAGTAGGTGCTTAATAGAAGCCTGTGGAATGAATGGATAAATATGGCAAAGTATAAAGAAGAAAAGGAAATGGACAACTGCTGTGAACATTTTGATAATCATGTCCTTCCAGATATTTTTTCTAATGAAAGGATATTTTAGAAATAAAAAAATAACCGTTGCATCTATTGAGTGATCTATTTCATTCCAGCTCCATGCTGACTCTAGAAGGACGGTAGGTGTCATTAGCCTTATTTTACAGATCATAAAACTGAGGCTTAGAGAGGTCACGGACACAACCAGGAAGGGCCAGCTAGAACCAATCCACACTTAGCTGATTTCCAAGCGCTGAGGAATGTAAACATCTTTCCCTTCACTTATGACCCACTTCTAAAGTGGAACCTCTTGCCAAAGGACTTTTATACAGGGCTGGGGTTGTGGCTCAGTGGTAGAGTGCTCGCCTAGCATGCATGAGGCACTGAGTTCAATCCTCAGCACCACATAAAAACAAAGTAATATGTTCACCTAAAACTAAAGATACATAAATAAATGTTTTTTTAAAAAAGGACTTTTATACAGCTGGACTCCTGCAGCTCACCCTCATCCTTCCCCCAGACAAACCAGAAACCAGGAACTAGAATTCCTCTTCCTCAAGACAAATCATAGAAACCAGAACCCATTTTCCCCAAAGCTAGCCATAAAATCTACAAATACTCCAACTCTTCCCTACTTCTCTGCATGAGAAATGGCCATAAAGAAATTCTCTGACCTACCTAGTTTGATAGTAGGGCATAAGACCCACATTCCAGAAGGGGATCTGCCCCACACCCAACTGGAAGAAATGCTACAACTGAGGGACCCAGAGGACTCCGAGTATTTCTACATGGCTATTAAGGTTTCACTGAACCTCAGCATAAAACGGATACTTTATCCTGGACCTTTGGTCTTCCATCTGAAGGTTCTCATGTCCTGCAAAATTGTGATAGAAGAAATGTTATGGTGTTTCTCCTGTGAATCCATCACCAGTTTTCTTCTTCTTTGTGGGAAGGGTACCTGGGATTGAAGTCGGGGCACTAGGCCACTGAGCCACATCCCCAGACCTATTTATATTTTATTTAAAGGCAGGGTCTCACTGAGGGTCTCACTGAGCTGCTTAGCGTCTTGCTAAGTTGTTGAGGCTGGCTTTGAACTCACGATCCTCCTGCCTCAGCCTCCTGAGCAGCTGGGATTACAGTCATGCACCACTACGCCCAGCTACCAGTTTTTTCATCAGGATCAAAAAAATTAGGCCTTCAGAGGGAACATGTGAACTTCCCTACTCAGGCACTGCCAGACGGAGAGGGACAGGAGGGTTTCCAACAGGGAATGTCTAGCAAAGGGCCACCCCAGTGGAATGTGCAACATAAACCTGCTCCTTGTGCTCCGAAGAGTCCTTTATCAGGATCGCCTCTGTCCTGGAAGGTGGGGGGAGGTGAGGGAGAACCCCCATAGAGGTGGAGGTCACCCAGAGTCCCAGGCAAACACCAAGACCACAGGAAGATCAGAGAGACAGGGACACTGTGGGTATACTGACGTTTGTTCTTTTCCTTCCTCTCATCAATGGGTTGGGAATATGCTTCTGTGGTCGGGACCATCTGTCATGTGGAATGCTTGCTCTGATGCCTTTTGGGGGACCAAAGAGCTGATATTCATAGGAACTTCACTTTTTGTTTGGCTCTGAGGCAACGGCTTTCCAGGATGCCAAGGGTTGGACATGGTTAAGTGTGTCCCCGAGGCTTCCTGTGTGGACATTTGGGACATCTGATCCCCACTCCAAGGTATTAGGAGGGTAGAGATTTAATCCGACTATCTTTAGAGTTGGAGGTGATTAGGATTAGATAATGATTAATGCTGGCAGCTAAAGACAGACAGATGGACACACCACACACACACACACACACACGCACACACACACACACACACTCCCTAGCTCTCCTCGCATGATACCCCACACCTCCTCTGGACTCTGCCAGCAGGAAGACCATCACCAGCTGCAGGTCCTCAACCTTGCCTTTCCAGAACCTTGAGCCAAAATAAACCTCCTTTTTTATAACTCCTCCTGTCTGTGGTATTGTGTTACTGGCGAAAGAAAATGGTCTAATTCGAAGGCATTATCCCTTTCCATCATCATCACAACCTTCTGACAGTTTGCACAGAGAGCAATTGAAGTGATTTTCCCCTGCTTGCACAGATAGTTAAGTGGCTGAGTCAGGACTGGGCCCAGATCCCAGTATACACAGGCCGCTTGAGTGTCCTGTCCCTGAGCCTTGACTCTTCAGTATTTGAGGCCTACAAAAATCCAGATTCTCTTGGAAAACTTCAGGCCTTCAGGTTTACCAACTGCAATGGCATCTGCTGGGGGTAGGTTCAAGTTTACAAGGCTGAGGAGGGGGTGACATACAGGCAGCATCTCCTAAGGTGGTCGGAGATCAAAAGAAGAAATGGATCCTGAAGCCCACCAGGGAGTAGTTCACCCTTTGGCATCTGTGTTACAAATTTTGGAAAATACAAGATTGAGAAGATAGATGACAAAATTTTGGTTTGAAAGGCTGGTTCTTTTGGTTACCTTAAGAAAACTCCTTTGACTTTTTGCAAAAGACAAAGTTATTCCTGAAATTATGAGACCCGGGGGAGTTCAGGAAGGAAGGAGGAGGCCAAGGAGGCTAAACTAGTTTTCCCAAGTCCAGGCTAAACAACACAAATGATGGGGGAGGGGGGGTGTTCCATTACCTAAAGCTCTGTGGCACTGGACAAGTTATTTAACTTCTCCATATTTTTATCTGGCCCAAAAGCATCCTCTTTTGCATGAGAATCTTGATTTGTCTGTAGTGGACTAATTCATCCTATTCTTTGTTTTTTAAAATTTATTTTTAGTTGTAGATGGACACAGTACCTTTATTTAATTTATTTATTTTTATGGGGTGCTGAGGATCAAACTCAGTACCTCACAAATGCCAGGCAAGCGCCCAACCACTGAGCCACAACCCCAGCCCTCACTCTGTTCTTAATTCCTGAAAATACCCCTTCCCACTCCCTTGGTTGCAAGAGTGGACACATGACCAGATCTGGCAATTAGCATATTCCATCCCTTTAATCCCATTGATTGGTTCAGGGACTAACATGTGACCCAAGTTAGGCCAATGAGATCTGGATCTTGTATAGCAACCATGAAGAAGAGACTCTTTCCTTCCAGACTTTTGATGAGTCGGGAGAATGTAAGCAGAGAGTTTCTGGGCATTCATTCTTTTTTTTTTTTTTTTTTAAGGCAAAGGTTTTTGAGTCAAACGGACCTATTTATTTTTATTATTTTTTTTAAAGAGAGAGAGAATTTTTTTTAATATTTATTTTTTAGTTCTTGGCGGACACAACATCTTTGTTTGTATGTGGTGCTGAGGATCGAACCCGGGCTGCACGCATGCCAGGCGAGCACGCTACCGCTTGAGCCACATCCCCAGCCCTGGGCATTCATTCTTATGACAATTATTTAATAAGCTCTTACTGTGTGCCAAATTTCATGCTAAGAGGTGGGGGAAAGGCCTGCCTTCAGGGAACATTCTAGTGAGGTGAGGAAAGAGACAACAGAAATTCCCCTATTAGTCATTATTCCATGCCATTCTAAACTGTGAGGCAGGCATGCTGAGTGGGAAGCGTTGGAGGCATCAGACTTCCTTTTTTTAAAAAAATAATTAAATATAGGAAAAAAATTAAACTACCTTACTGTTACTGTATCCAAGAGGAATAATAAACCCATCATGCTCAATTCCAAGCCAAGAGCCCTGTTCTAAAGCCTGCTGCTCCGCCTTCATGGACAAAGCTCTTCACTTCAAGTTCTGAGAAAAAAAAAAAATCTCTCACCTCATCCACAAGGATTTGGTTTCTTTCCCCCATTTCCCTCCACCAGAATGTCCACAGGACCCAACCCACAAAACGAAAATGATACTATCAAGAAAACGAAAAGACAACCCAGAGTATGGGAGAAAATATTTACACATCATATATCTGATAAGGGAAATGTAACTAAAATATATAAAGAACTCTTGTGACTCAATATTAAAAAGATAACAAACTCAAGTTTAAAAATGGACAAAGGATTTGAATAGATCTCTCTCCAAAGAAAATACCCAAATAGGGCTGGGGTTGTGGCTCAGAGGTAGAACAGTCACCTACCATGTGTGAGGCACCGGGTTGATCATCCTCAGCACCACATAAAAATAAAATAAAGATATTGTGTCCACCTATAACTAAAAAATAAATATTTAAAAAAGAAATATACAAATAACTATTAAGCACATGAAAAAAATGCTCTACACCAATAGCCTGAAGATAATGCAAATTGAAGGTATCAATCTACTAGGGTGGCTATCATAGAAAAAAAAATCAGCTAATCAACAGGCATTGGCAAGCATCTGGGGCAATTGGAACCCTCATATCTTGCTGATGTGAGAAATTGAAAACAGTTTGGTAGTTCCTCAAAAAATGAAACATGGAATTATGATACAACCCAGCAATTCCATTCCTGGTTCTATACCAAGAGAAATTAAAAGATATGCTCACGTACCCAAATGTTCATAACAGCATTATTCATAAGAGCCAAGAAGTGAAAAAAAACCCAATGGTATCAACTT